GTCCTGCAGGGAATATATAGAGCTCAAGTGAACTACCAGAAAGAAAGTTCTGACTGGGCAAGTTGTCAAAGTAACTGTGATTGAATTAGGCCCACTCTTTTCACTTATACTAAGTGGAAAAACACTATTGTTACGATGGGAGATCAACCCAATAGCTCTGCTCTGTCCTTACTTGCTCTGAGTCATTGGAAACAAATCAAACACACCATTGTTCAAAAGCCATTTAGGCTACATCAAATTAATCAAACTGGGCCAATACAGTTTTCCGACAATGAAGGCGTTTTGCAATAACAGAGAGGAGGTGTAGGAAATTACATTTGATTAGGGGTGGTGTGGTGGGCTTCTGCTTGTCATTTCATGTCAGTATTAAGCCTCCTCACAGAAAACACACATTAATGTCACTGTAAAATGCTCAACATGCTATTTCTTGAATGATAACAGCAAAATACAAGCTACATCTATTATTTAGAGTTGACAATATATAAATAAAATGGAAAATGTCTCTGACTATATGTCTGTCCTTCAAGATTCTCAACAACCGTTCATTTACACTTGACAGGTTTATTGCTAAGGACACAATGAAGTGCAGGGTCGAGTGTTACGTTGAAGTTGTTTGGATAAAGGGTTCTTTAGAAAAGATGCAAGCAGCAACACCTAAATGCAAAGTGCACGGCACTAGAAGCAGCACATGGACAGTGGGATTAGATGTGTTTATTTGGACAGTATCTATCAAGCAGCAAAAAAACATAGTTACAGTTCACCCCAAAGTGATGATTCCTCCTCTTCATCTTATTACCTCATTGAGGTTGTTATCTGCTTTGATGATTTCTTCTACTAGTTCTTCCTATAGTGTTTGTACAGGAGCACTCCCTCTGGCCACAGCAGATGTGTTCTAATCAGGTCAAGCTGCCTCATTGACTTGTGCTGAAGTGTACATACTGTACGTGCTACCTACACACCATATCTGTTATGCAGCTGCATGGACAATACAAAGCTTGACCTAGCTGCTTTCTGAAGCATGGCCACCATGCATAGGAGCAGGCTCGGTGCTGAGAAAGTGTAGGGTTCTAGAAAAAGGTTGTTTTCTTCCAATCATGGTTCGTGAAACTCGGGGAAATAATTGTTCATATGCTGTTGAGTCGTTGACAATGTTCAAGGTGTGGCTTATCCACAGTCAGATGGAAGACAATGCCATCTGCTAATTAAACATGAGCAAAGAGATGCTGTGTTTGTACAGAAGAGCTTACATCTCTGAAATGCGAGAAAAGCATGAAAGGATATTATTATCCAATGGAGTTCTTAATAATCTTTGTTTCTTTTCTGCTTTTTTTCAAGGGCAAAATGTTTAGTGCAGAGCTACAAAAATCTCATCAATATAAATTACAAAGAAGCTCTCAATATCTGTGCTGTCCTGGAACTAACTTTAATGTGTGTGTGTGTGTGTGTGTGTGTGTGTGTGTGTGTGGTGTGTGTGTGTGTGTGTGTGTGTGTGTGGTGTGTGTGTGTGTGTGTGTGTGTGTGTGTGTGTGTGTGTGGTGTGTGTGTGTGTGTGTGTGTGTGTGTGTGTGTGTGTGTGTGTGTGTGTGTGTGGTGTGTGTGTGTGTGTGTGTGTGTGTGTGTGTGTGTGTGTGTGTGTGTGTGTGTGTGTGTGTGTGTGTGTGTGTGTAAATAGGCTCCAAATCACCTTCTATTCTCTCTGAGATACTGACCGAGCTCTCCATGGTGCTGAAATCTTCATAGGGTTTTGTGTGCAAGAGAACTCCTCTGTCTGTGTGTGTTTCTCACTAAAACCATGATCTCTAAGCTTATAGGAGCTCACCATTGTGCTGAAATCACTACCAACTTGGCATACTCCACATTCCATCCAGTTCTTATGTCACTACTTTAGCTTCACAGAAGGTAGCCAGTATAACCAGGAAGCATAAGGAGAACAGGCAGTCGTTCATAAAGCCCAACATTACAGTTATTCCAATGTTTTCGATGGTTCTACAGACACACAACAGTAATGGTTCTCAAAACTGACTTTAATATGAATATTTTAGGCCTTATATACAATTAGAGGGGCAGTGGGCAGACGTGACTCTATGCTGAACATGTGTTGTACAACACATGTTCAGCATAGTCCATTTCCAACTCGGAAACAGCCATCAACAGACTCTCGAGCCTTTGAGCAAGCCATTGATGGCTGTTTCCGAGTTGTTGTAAATGAACAGGCCATTCATGTGAGATATGTTAGTGAAAGTAAAACATATTGTTTGTATGATTCCCTGAATGAAATGAATGGGGTTTCCCATGGCCCATTCTACACTCTTCCACATTTTGTAGAAAATTGGACCAATAGTGTTTCTCCCTCAATTCTGTTGGCAATTAGAGCAAAACATTAACTTCTTGACGGGCACAGGTCCATTTAGTCCAAGAAATAGGTTCAGCATGAGTCCAATTAAGTAAGTGGAACACTATTTATGTATTATCTTTAGAGTTTCCCATATGAATGACTGTAGTCTAATAGAAATAATTTGGAGCATTGTGCTGTAGGACTATTAGACCATATCTATTAGACCAGATTTACTTTCATTGTAGATATGCTTCTAGCTCCTGTCAACCTTCCCCATTGTAATAGCACAGGGAAACATTAACCCTCCTATTGTCTTCCCCCCCCCCCTTACTTTGGTGTTCACGGTCAAATTTGACCGGTCCTGTTTTAACTGCTATTACATTAACACAAAAACCATTAATCATCACCAAATTTAATTTAACACCCTTTCAAACTGTACATATTGTATCAGACTACTGGTATACATGAAAAACTGCAGTAAATATACAAAGAACAGACACTGAACATGTATTGCGTGTGACAGGTGTGATCCATGTGGGGGGATGGGCACATAAGAGCGGGAAATGTGTCAAATGTTTCTGTGTGTGCCAGGTGTGATTGACATGGGGGGATTGGGCACATAAGGGGGGGGACACATCTAGAGTATGTGTGTGTGTGTGTGTGTGTGTGTGTGTTTGTTTGTGTGTATTTGTGTGTGTGTTTTATCTGATCCGGATGCTTACTAATTCCTTTTCTTTATGGCGGAACACCATGGGTGTTACAAAGTTGACTAAATCATCCAAAATGCAATGAAAGTGGTGATCAGCAATTGTATATGTTCAAATGTCTACTGTGAAGGATATCATAAAGCCTTAATGCAGTCGAATGTAAAACAAAAAAGTTATGATTGATGAAAGTAGTACATCGGTCAGATTTGACCCGAAGACAACAGGAGGGTTAATAGTTCTGACAATGTGAATATTCTGTGTGTGCCAAAAAGTTTGCAAAATAATTGATAAAAAAATAAAGGTCTCAAATGTTGTCTTGGCAACTGGTTGATGTATAAAGAAGTGAGCATGTTATGTTTGAGTGATTTCTGCATAACATGCAAGACATGTTCAGGGTACATTTGGGCATTATCTGTATTGTGCCTGCTACTAATCCTGGCAGAGAGTAAGGCAATTAAAGGTGTGGAGAACCTTTTATCAATACATGTGCCACGATTCCTTGTGATGGCATATTCTAATATTAATAAATGATTATTATAGACATTCTCCCTTTTGATCTGTTTTGTGCTTTCATTTGGTCCAATTTGGGAAGCCACAAATTTGAATCCTTTTAGGCAAATTGCAAATTACTCATAGAAAGTCGCTAACAAGAACTGTACAGTAGGATACATTGAAAACAAATCATAATTTGCACATCTGCTTTCCATCCCTAGTTATCTTTTGTACACCATACTCTTTTTGTCGTTTGGTCATAGTCAGTCGGTCAGTATTCTTAAACAAGTTACAAAAAACAACAGATATTTAAACCAAAGTCTATTTAGATTTAATTAAATATGTGAAAACTCAAAGAAATCTAGCCATGTAATAAGTTACATAATGTGCAGGAATTAAAAAAGTTTCCTCACTTTTGAAGTCATTTTTATGTGCATAGTTTCACAGGGATCTGACACGCTGTTATCTGGCACACACAGTCCCTGATAGCTTATTTTTTCTCTGTATCATCTGCCGCCGTGTTCACTGAGTCCCATGCTAAGCAATTTTTCAAATCTGTGCTGTGAAAGTAATAGGGTCCACTTTGGAACTTCAGAGACAGACTTCATTGCATTTAATCACACAGTGTGCCTCTGTCTTTGACTGCAAATGTAGCGCCTATTGTCTGCTCGTAGCAAAATAAACATTGTTTATCTTCTGAGGTTAAAGGAGTATAAACATCTAATTATAAAAGTAATTTAATGACAGTAATCGTGATTGAAATGGATGGATTTGTAGAACTTTACGAAGACTGCAGAATAAATGAAGGAGGAAAATATAGACTGTTGTTAATCTTCAATCCTTCAAAAGAAGCTCTTGAGCTGAATAATGACCCGCACTTGAACTCATCCTGACTATAATATATGCAGCAATGCACCTTAACACTCATCACCTGTTAGAGAATGTTATATAAGCACGAAATCTGAAGCCATGAAAACAATTCCATAATTGCATGTTTTTAATTATTATTTTTAGGAATTGGCTTTTTAGCTTAATGCAGGGTTAATATGAAAAGTCTAAATAGAGCCAAATATTTTCTACATTTGATAAGACTTATGGTAGAGGCCCAGAAGAGCTGACAGGAACATACTGTTTATATCGTAAAACACTATCTTTTTTTTATTGACTATGTAAAGATGTGTAAATTGGATGCTAATTCCTTACAATAGGGTTTGAATAAAATGTTAAGCCTTTTATTTGCTCTATTAAACCAACTATTACATGATAAATACTTTGGAAGTAGCCTAGACTGATGACAGACAAACAGGTAAACGTGGTCCATATAGGTTGAAAAGTGGATAGTATACTTTACATGTGATCTTTCTGTATTTGGAAACTGCACGTGCTGACGTCACTACGGGTGATGTTAGTGGAGGAAGAGTTTCGTTGTGAACGCGCCTGACGGATCCCTGGCGGAGGGCAGCGAGGGCGCGCATCTCTGTCCTCCGCTTGTGAAGCGACTGCAGGGGAGCCAGATGCCCGACTGTGAGCCGCTGCCTGTGGATACACATCCCAAATGCCAGAGCAGGCGAGAGCCACAGACACATTTCACCATATGACAGGGAAGAGGACAGAATAGACGGAGTAAGATTTTTTTAATTTCTGAATATATAACCTTTTACCTCCCTTGTTGTCTCTGTTACAACCTCTGCTTCAAATGAAGAGCTGCCTTGGACTTGGAGTACCGGGCATCAGTAGAACACAAATCCGTTATCCCACTCAGCCCCTGCTGCTGCGGTGCTGCTGCCTGTGAGTGGCTCATCTCATTGCATTGGATTATACAGCGTGTCTATATGCGCAAAACCATGGAGATTATATGACGTGGATTTATTTTTTGAACAAAACTGGACATCTACAAAAGCGACGTGTCCTGTTCTTTTAATTTTCTCGCCTTGCCTTTTTATTTTGCGTTTTTCTGTTCCGTTTTCTCTTTTGATCTATGGCTACTTTATGATTTCATGTCCTTAGCGATCGTTCCTTATTTTCATTTATTTATTTTTTTACACTTGTTTTTTTTTGGAGACGCAGAAGTGGGATGCCTCGCAGAGAACATTTGTGGGGAGAAGAATCCGCGCAACAGCGAGGGTGAATGAATGATAGTCTCCCTCTCCATCTGAGACGTGCCATGGATGGGAAACTTAATTTGTATCCACGGAACCGATCGGGGAATATCCTTCGCTTCAAATAACTACTGCTGACAGCGATCAGGTAATGCATTTCGTCTTTTTAACTCAACATCTCTGTAAAACCGTTTGACTGAGTCTTTGCGCCAGAATGCAGCCTGCCGGTTTATGTATTTGATTAATGACATCCCTGTGAAAAGATCAGTGAGTGAAATGAAATCCAGATTATCTGACGCATAGATTTAAGGGGGAATTGGACCATCATTTCCCCTAGTTTTGCTGTTTCAAGACTGAAGTGTATCGGCAGTTATCCGCGGGGATGAGATATCTGTGAACCTGTAGGCTACGGAAGTACCAGTCACAGAAAATCCCCAAATACATCTCAGCAGTTGAATTACAGCCCATTAGTCGAACACAGGTGGACAGCAGTAGCCCCTGCATGCTGAATCTCTCAGTGGGAGACACAGGCAGCTGTATGGTTGCCTCTAAAGCCGCTGGCAGACCTGTAACTTTGCGCAATGGCCAATACGACACACACACTCACGCACACACTGCACATTGTGCGCACATAGCCTGCTCAAACACTTTTATTTCCACCTTTACTGACTCGTCTCTCTCAACACTTTCACATGCTCATGTCCGCCGCCCCCTACACACACACACACACACACACACACACACACACACACACACACACACACACACACACACACACACACACACACACACAATGATGGTGTTCTCTTCCCTCGTTGGGGGTTTGCCACGATGCCATTTTGAGTTTAGAATTACATTTCTGAATCAGAGCTGCTCCACCCGCACTTAAGCCTTTTCAACACTGCCAGGAAATGATTCTGGTCGGCAGAATGCCTTCTTCACGCATATCTGTAACATTTGGTCAGAGTGCTTTTTGCAATGTTTCTTCCCGCCTGTGCGCCTGGGTGAGTGGGTGCCTTCTGCCGATGAATGCTAAAGAGCCAGGATGTACCAAAGACGCCAGTGAGTGTGCAGTGGAGATTGAAAGAGGGGGCTGCTTGATTTACATCCGTACTGGCATCTCACGACGTAACAGAAAGCCCTTTGAAAGCTACCTGATCACGCACTGAGGTCCGGTTTATTAGCGGGAGCCTCTGGCTGTGGAGTGCGTCTGCCGCAGTGTCGCCTCTTGGTACCTGCTCCCAGCCTTTTCGGAGTTATTTTTAGTAGATTCATAACTATGTGGGGGAGTTTATCGAGAGTCTAAGAAAAACTGCTCCTCAAACGCTGGCGATCAGGTTGCTCCTGTGACGATGAACCGGCATGACAACGGGAGTGCAAAGGAGCCTCCGAGCGTCCTCTGTCTCTCTTCCTCCGTCTCTCTTCCTCCACCCATCTGTTGAGTTTACAGTGTGTGCGCTTCCTCCGCACGCATCTCAAAACAAACTCCCTACTATCAAACCACTTTAACAATGGGAAGTGACACACATGGCAGAGGCAACCTCGATGCTTGTATTCCATATAGCCATATGGCATGTTTCACAATTTCCTTCTTCACCCCACTTATTCACCACTGAGTCAAGCTCTGCTACAGCAGTCCGTGGGTGAACTGGTGGAGGCTCTTTAACAGGGACACTGATTCATGAGCAGTGACTGTCTCTTTGCACCATTTAGGATGTGGATTAGCAGGTCAGATTTAGCCGGTATAATCATGTTCTAAAAAGAAAGCATGTGATGGCTTATTAAGAAAGTCACAACAACACTATTCATGTTTACCCTACATCATTAAAGCAAACGTGACTATACCTCCATAGAGCTCTCTGTGCAGCCATGTCTCCTCCCTGACTGTGAGCAGTGAATAACCCGAATATTTTCACTCCTTTTATTTTTTTTAGACGCAGTGAATAACCTCGTTTGTTTTATTTCTCCAGGCTGCTGTCGGATCTAATGGAGCCGGCAGGGCCGTGTCCCCTTTTAGCAGAGATGAGCAAAGCTTGGATGATGGCTGATGAGTTAGATGTGAGAGAAGGCTCCTTTTTAACACCGCTGCGTAGAGGACAGGGGGTGGGAGGGAGCCATTGGTTCAGTAAGTCTCTCACTCTAACATAGTATAATTTGCCATTTAAACTCCCAAGCTTGCTAATGGTTTCCACTCAGAGGATCTGTATCAGATTCATCCTGAGAACATGCAAAGCGGGGACTAATTTGCTCACAGAACGTCGCTTTGCAAAGATGCGGTGGTATGATATTTTTTTCTTCCTTCCAGATAAAATGGTTCTGCTCTTGGTTATGCAACTACAGGACAGCTACATATAATCTAGATTTATTATGGCTACTCATACAGAATGTGACACAATTTACCTTTAAGAGACTTATCACAATCATTTTTTTAGAGCAACACTATTTGGGTGCCTGTTGACAGCGTGCTCCATGGGTTATGAAGGCAGGTAATTGTTCTATTAAAAAAAAAAGGGTTGGTGTTCAATGCTTTTTAACTATTTTTTTTTCGAACAATACTTCATTAACTCTATTGGATATGGGATGGATAACCCTAAACCTGGTAAATGATCACCGTTAAACCCATAAGGCCAGATATTATCAGGGATCATTAGGCGTATTCACACCGGAGTACTTTTACCCGTACTTTTCCCGTTTAGTTCCGTTAGTTACCCCCCTTTGTCGTGCCTGCTAGAGAGGTGGGACTATCCTGGGGAGAAAAAAGTACCAATTTCGATTGGCTGGGCGAATTGCAAACCACGCCCCGTAAAACTCTGAAAAGTTTTGTGAAGCCGCCATTGTATTTGCTGGCATTAGCATTATTAGCATTAGCATTAGCCCTGCGAACCAACGGAGAGAGAATAACTTATGGCAACACAAAAGAAAACATGGGAGCGGTGGAGATGAGGAGGTGTCGGCGTTCTGGCGATTTACTCGGAAGGCTTCAGTAGAAGCTGCTGGGAGTCCCAGCAGCTTGAAGCCAGTCCCCAACTCCGGGGACTTCTGGCCGGGGACTTCTGGCCGGGGACTTCGGGTGGCAGTATACGCCGTGAAGTTGTTCCATGGTGTTCCATGGGGGTACTAAGAGCTGGCACTAAGTGCTGTGCACTAAGTACGGCAAAGTACTTGGTGTGAAAGCAGCTATTGAGAAAATGTGCTTTTCTGTTATTTGTAAAACATTTGTTTGTGATCGTTCCTGACGGCTCAAGTATTAGACCTTCAACTAGATATGAGTGGTCCACAATTTATCATTGATATCATATTGACATCTATGTATTGTCTTTCTGGCCAAAGCCCATAAATATGGAAAGCAAATATTGTTATAACAATCATTTTGTATGAATGCGGTCAATAATAAATATATACATTATTCTAGACAACAAACTTCATTAGCTTGTTGATTATACAGTTCTATGGCAATACGACTATACGAATGATACCGGGTGTCATATTTCTGAGGGAGCATATCTGCCATCTTTCTGTTTGTGGTTTATTTTCTTTAGCTTGGAGTGGTTACAGAAGCAAAGCCCTCTGCTTGGCGTGCTCTTTGACAATCTGGCCGAGGCCATGTGTCCCCGGCCTCCAGAGATCTCCTTTTAGCTAGAGCCTCTTTTCAGGGAGCTCCTTGTGATTCCAAGCAGGATTTTCTGAATGATATCAAGTGATGTGTTACATTCAGATGCGTACTGCTCAGATGGCACTACAAGGTTGTTTGAAAGCTGATCAGCATTGCAAGATGTCATGTAGATAAATGAAGTATTTTCTTTATTGAGGTGTAGAGGTGTATCATTTTTGGATCCCATGCAGGTGTCGGATATGAATGTAGCATAAATGCATAGCTGTATCTGGTCGTGAAAAGTCCTCCCTTAAATGTAATATAAACGTCATTCACATGATTTGAAACATTTCAGATTTGAATGTGAATGAGACCTGAAAAAAAACATATTAAACAAATAAAATGGGTCAAAGCACAGCAGGAAGGTTACTGAGAAATGAGTCTGCGTGTATTGACCGTTTCATCAATGAATGATCATCTGTTCAGCTGTTGGCAAAGCAAATGATGGTGTGACACATATCAGCTGAAGATGTATGGAAAGCACCCAGATCTGTGGCAGTTTTATTAGGCCTGTGATACGAATAACATCTTCAATATCCGCCCACATGTCATGCACTAATGGTGGCAATGCAAAATCTTCCTCCTTCTCTCTCACACACATGCTGTACACCCGTCTCACCTATCTCTCTATTTCACATCCCATTTTCACTCTAGCAACACTGATGGGCAAAAGCGTACAGTGCTCAAAGGGGTAGTGGCACATGTTTGTGTGTGTGTGTGTGTGTGTGTGTGTGTGCGCGTGTGTGTGTGTGTGTGTGCATGCTGTCTAAAGAGTGCATATGGAGTAGGGGCCATGCGACAGCTCGGTCTTGCCTGGATCGCTGCACCCTGGCTGGGCCATTGTTCCTCTGACACCCCCTTACACACACAAACACACACACTCCCCTTCACTGGCCTTAACTAACAAGCTTCCTGCTCTCCATTCCTCCTTATCATATCTTTTTTTTCTTTTATTCTTTAGATATGTATACATTGTAGTGTTCCTTGTTAAGATATTATCCTAATGGCTTGAATGGTTTCATGATTTGTCCTTTTAGTTTGGCCACGGCTTGGCGAGAAGAGGAAAAATAGAAGAAAAGATAATGAGATTATGCCTCTCAAATGAAATATGTTATGTTATATGACCATGGTCTGATTATGTTTTACATAAAAGGTTACCAATAGTTTTGCCAAACATGGTGCCATATTAAGTAGCAGGGCTTATCGTTGAAAGACTTCGGCACAGCAGACATGGCACATAATTGGTTGAAAGGGCCCATGAGTCTATTTTCTGTATTATTGTGTGGTTTTATTTTATCAACGCTTTATTCATTTTCACTTCCAATGTCTGGATATACTTTATAAATAAGAGTTTACTTCTCGTTGAAATGCATTATCAGTGGCAAAACATGGCCTCAAAATTACAATTTCTTTGGACGTTCAATATATCCGACCAAAAAAGTAATTATCCTGACAGACCTAAATGAACTATGGAAGGTCTGGGTTTCAAAGTGAAT